TATCCACAATACTCAAGAGGTAACCTAAATGCCTGACAGATGAATGGATAAACCAAATGTGGTCTGTAGATATAACGGATTATTCAGCCTTGAAAAGGAAGTTCTGACACATACTACAACCATGAATGAACCTTGAGGACATTATACTAAGTGAAATAAGGCAGTGAGAGAGAGACAAACCCTGTACAAGGTTGTTCAACCCATGGCCCATGTGGCCCAGAATGGCTTTGAATGTGGCCCAACACAAATGCGTAAACTTTCTTAAAGCATTATGAGGTTTTTTTGCAATTTTTTTTTTTTTTTTTTTTTTTTTAGCTCATCAGCGATGGTTAGTGTATTTTATGTGTGGTCCAAGACAATTCTTCTTCCAATGTGGCCCAGGGAAGCCAAAAGATTGGACAATAGTGCTGTACAATTTCACTTATATGAGGTACCTGGGATAGTCACAGCCACAAAAACAGAAGAATGGTGGTTGCTAGGGACTGGGCAAGGGAGCAATGGGCAGCTGTTTAATGAATACGTGCAGAGTTGCAGATTTACAAAATGAAAAGTTCTAGAGCCCTATTTCACCATATGTTTACATATTTAACAGTACTGAACTATATGATTAAAAATGGTTAAGATGGTACATTTTATATGTATTTTTTTGCCACAATAAACACCAAACCAAGGCGGGGTGCATTGACTCATGCCTGTAATCCCAGCACTTTGGGAGGTCGAGGCGGGTGGATTACTTGAGGTCAGGAGTTTGAGACCAGCCTGGCCAACATGGTGAAACCCCGTCTCTACTGAAATACAAATATTAGCCAGGCATGGTGGTACGTGCCTGTAATCCCAGCTACTCAGGAGGCTGAGGTAGGACAGTCACTTGAACCTGGGAGGCGGAGGTTGCAGTGAGCAAGATCACGTCACTGTACTCCAGCCTGGGAAACAGAGCAAGACTCCATCCCAAGAAAAAAAAAAAAAACCTAAACCAAACCAAAAGTTTATATTATGAATGGCAACTTCAATACTCAGCTATCATCTAATGCTCTCATCGTCTATAAAACACCCAGGACACATAAAGGTACAGCCCAACAATTTCAAGTGGAGGGCCCTGCCTTATTTTGGTTGTCCTTCAGACATACATACTAAAACATACAAAAATTAGCAGGCGTGGTGGCACACGCCTGTAATCCCAGCTACTCAGGGGGCTGAGGCAGCGGAATCGCTTGAACCCGGGAGGCGAAGGTTGCAGTGAGCTGAGATTAAGTCATTGCACTCCAGCCTGGGCGACAGAGCGAGACTGTGTCTCAGGAAAAAGAGAAAAAAAAGTAGTACATGCAGCGTGCTATGGGGAGGGAGTTCTGGTTCCAGATCTGTTATTGACCAGGTGTTATATTTTGGGCCCTTGCCTTTTTCTTTGTTTCTTTCTTTCTCCTTTCCAAAACAAAGGATTTGGACTAAATGATTCCTTTTAAGTTGGCAGATTTTGTGGTTCTCTTCATTAGAAAAGCAACAAGTATATATCCTTCTTTCACAAGATGCTTTTAGGCACATGGAGACAATGCATTAGAAAAGTGGGAAGATGTCATCATTTTTCTACATTTGACAAACATGTCATAAAGAATGCTACTTATAACCACATGGAAATAAAGACAGCAAGATCAAACAGTGAATATCAACAGAAGAGACAAAAGGAGGCTCGTGGCTACTGTAGCGATGACAAGCTCACTCTGCCCTCTCGGCTGGGAAGCTCAGAGACTAAGGCTCAGGTGAATACAGTAGGTTCTGGAATAAGCATGCAGCCCCTCTGGTGTGGGCTGGATTCAGTCACGTTCATCTAATGTCCCCTGCACACATTTCTACGGTCTGCAGAGTATCCTCATCTAGCACTCCCTTATTTACGGAATGACACATCAGACATTCCAATCAGTGTGTCACACATCCAACTGCCCTGCCACTTAGTGAGTAATTCAAAGAGGTAAATTTTGCCAGAGTTGGTAGTCTCAACCCAAAGATGCTGGAAGTAGAATATGAGTACATGCCTTCCATTTTGCGACTGGCAGGTTCTGTTTTGTTTTTAACCTGCGACTTTGCTTCTGATTTTCTTCTTCTAGACCATCCAGCTCACTGGCTGGATCCCTGATCAGAATATTCTGACTACATTCATATATCTAATAAAGTCCCATTTGTAAAAGCAACAGCAAATAAAAATCACTCATAAAGGACTCCATGCCATCAAGCAGCAAGCGGTTTAACTGCTCAGTGGAAACTTGAAGTAGCTTAGAATGGGCTTCTGAATGCAGTGGAGTGGAAGGCATCAGGGCAAGCTGACCGGCTCGAGCCAGCTTTCCCACTAACAGGGAGCCCTTGACATCTGAGGGTCGGAAGTCATCCATTACTGCCAACCTTTAGTAACTAATTTCTGGCCATGATTTGCTCCACTTCCCGAGAGCTAAAGGTCAACTTTAATGCAGGAAAACTCATTTCTTGTCCATCACTATTTTCCCCTTTACAGATACAAAGTAATGCCATAAACTCCCTCAAAGCTATATATACCAGTTGGGTATCTCTTATATGAACTGCTTGGGACTAGAAGTGCTTTGAATTTGCGGTATTTCAGATTTTGGAATATTTACATTATACTTACGAGTTGAGCATCCTTAATTTGAAATACAAAATGCTCCAATGAGCATTTCCTTTGAGCATCACGTTGGCACTCAAAAAGTTTTGGATTTAGGCGCACTTTGGAATTCAGATTTTCAGATTAGAGATGCTCAATATGTAATGCAAACTCCTACTATGCTGGTGGCTGGCCAAGTTAAGCCTAAAGCAAAAATGTGAAATTCAAGATCAGGTTACATGTGTAAATGAAGCAAGTACTGCAATCCTATAGAAAATCCTTAGTTTGGGCCGGGCACAGTGGCTCACGCTTGTAATCCCAGCACTTTGGGAGGCCGAGGTGGGTGGATCACAAAGTCAGGAGATCGAGACCATCCTGGCTAACACAGTGAAACCCTGTCTCTACTAAAAATACAAAAAAATTAGCCAGGCGTGGTGGCGGGCGCCTGTAGTCCCAGCTACCTGGGAGGCTGAGGCAGGAGAATGACGTGAACCCGGGAGGCGGAGCTTGCAGTGAGCCGAGATTGTGCCACTGCACTCCAGTCTGGGCGACAGAGTGAGACTCTGTGTCCAAAAAAAAAGAAAGAAAGAAAGAAAAGAAAACCCTTAGTTTGTTGGAGAAAATGAGGTTCTCAGCGTTGAGGATCCCGTCTGGCCCTATTAAACAGAGCCACTGTCTAATAGGAGATAATCCAACTAAAAGGAAAAGACCCATCAAGGAGAAAGGTGGATCTCTGGTGTGCAATCCCAGCCACTCTGCTTCCAAACTGGAAACGTATTCATCTCAGGATCACCTCATCCTGCTATACCTGTTTCTTCTAAATACCAATTTTCTATGTCTTTTTTTTTGGAAACAGGGTCTCCATTCTGTCACCCAGGCTGGAGTGCAATGGTGCAATCATGGCTCACTACAGCGTCAACTTGCCAGGATCAAGCAAGCCTCCTACCTTAGCCTCCTGAGTAGCTGAGACTACAAGCATCATGCCTGGCTAATTTTTTTTTTTTTTTTTTTTTTTTGTAGAGGCAGGGTTTTGCCATGTTGCCCAGGCTGGTCTTGAACTCCTGAGCTCAAGTGATCTGTCCGCCTCGGCCTCCCAAAGTACTGGGATTACAAGCGTAAGCCACTGCAGCCGGCCCCAATTTTCCATTTCAAATCTTGTTTTAACTCTTTTGTTATTTTCAGAAAATGGCAATCTATTATTTCATTCTCTGTCTGACAACAGTTACCTCTACCGTGTCTGGGAAAAAGACTTAGTGATGAGTAACTTAAAACGCCCTTATAGTTTTTATTTAATGAACCAATTTTTTACAGCACTTACAGTGTGCCAGGCACTCTCCTCCCAAGAACCTCAGAAGTGATGACTCATTTAATGGTTATTAATCAAGCACAGGTAAATATAAATAAGAATGGAGTTTACTATGTTGGGGGAACAGTTACAAGACTTTACCAGGCTTAATGAAGACTGGCCTTCATTCACAACAATGCATCCTTGGGATGCTGGGTTTAAAGGCTGCTGGGGAGAGTGTAGGCACATTTCCACAGAGACCATGAAGCTTCCTCCCAAAAAGGAATCAGAATCCTACCATTGTTTGCCAATGTCCACTACAAGCACACGCTAATATACCCGAGAAACGTATCCATATGTGTAGAAAAAGCATGTACAACAATGTCCATAGCAACGCAATTCTCAGTATCCCCAAACTGCAAACAACCTAGAGGCCCATCAGCAGTAAAACAGATGATCGTGGCATATCTATACAAAGGACTACGCGACGGCAATGAGAATGAACAAACCGCTAATACACACAACAGCATAGATGAATCTCACGAACATGACACTGAATGACACAAAAGAGTGCACACTGTGTGATTCCGTTTATGTGATGTTCAAGGACAAGCCAAACTCATCTATGGAGACAGAGGCTGCAACAGTGGTCACCTATGGAGGGGGTAAGGATTGCCTGCAAAGAAGCACAAGAGAACTTCTGGGGTGATGGAAACATTTTCTTTTTTGATGGGAGTGTTGTTTCCATGTGTATAACCAATTATCAAACACAAATGATATACTTAAGATGTGTGCATTTTGCTGACTGCAAATTTTACCCTGATTTAAAAAAGAGATGTGACCTTGTATGTGTTACAAGATAAATGAAGCCGGGGGTGCCTGTTTTGCTGTCATCATAAGCTATTAGGGTGGATCGATGTGTTCAATCTCACAGCTAGAATGTGTATTCCAAATACAAAGTCCCTGACGACAAAGACTGGGCCTTGCCCATCTTCATAACCTTGGCATTTAGTATGTGACCTGGCTCATACTCGATGTTGAATGAAAGAAGGAAGCAGAATTCAACAGGCGGCATGTTTCAAAACCCTGTACATACACTATCGTTCTTACCTATTCAGTGCAAACGCATAGTGGAATTTGATGTTATGCTGATCGGCCAAATCACACGTAGGCAGCATCTCCAGTGTTTCTACCAGCTTCACCATCGCATCATAGTCCTGTTGGCAAGAGGTCCCAAAGTGAGCAAGAGAGGAAACACAGCTCTTCACTGATTTTTCTGAATTGTTATAAACATGAGACAGCCTCAGCACTTAAAGACAGGCCCTTCCTTACAAAGGGCATTTAGTGAAGTTACCTGTAACCTTTAATAGGAGGGAAAAAGACCAGAAAATAAAATGGATAAGAGAGAGAAGAACAGAGAAGGAATCCCTGCTATCAAAGGGCATGAAGCATCCAAAGGCAACAAAAGTAAAGGAACCCAGCAGCCAGGAAACAGCTGAGTGTAGGAGAGTTAACAGTATCAGCAGAGGCCAGGCCTGGTGGCTCACACCTGTAATCCTAGCATTTTCAGAGGCCGAGGTGGGTGGATCGCTTGAAGTCAGGAGTTCGACACCAGCCTGGCCAACATGGTGAAACCCCATCTCTACTAAAAATACAAAAATTAGCTGGGCATGGTGGCGGGCACCTGGAATCCCAGCTACCCAAGAGGCTGAAGCAGGAGAATTGCTTGAACCTGAGAGGTGGAGGTTGCAGTGAGCCGAGATCATGCCATTGCATTCCAGCCTGGGCAACAGAGCAAGACTCCGTCTGTCTCAAAAACTAAAACAAAATAAAAACAGTATCAGCAGAGATGTGTGTTAAAGTGAGCTGGACAAATATACACAAGCAAACTTCCAGTCAAAGCAGATAGATTCCAGTCCTTCCTATTTTGCCAGAATCAAATACATTAATCTAAACTAGTGTTTCTCAACCTTGGCACTAGTGACATTTCTGGACCATAATTCTCTGTTGTGGGAGCTGTCCTGGGCACTGTAGGATGCTGGCCTTGACGCACTGGAAGCCAACAGCACACCACCCTCCTCATGCCCTGCACATACACACTTAGTTTTTACAACTGAAAATGTCTCCAGACACTGCCAAAAAAGTTCTTGGGTTGAGAGCCACTGCTCTAAACTCTGCATGATTACCTGGGGAAAAACTGCGACCATGCTTGTCTCAGCCGAGTCCCTTCTTAGCAGTGCCACCTGTTACTCTTTCAGCCAGGCTTAGAATCGTTGGAACTGGCCAACTTGCCGACAGCCAGCCATAGTCAGCAGAACAGGGCTTCCCACTGAAATGCCATGCCTGTCCTGTGGCTCTGCGCCTTGCTGCTGCTGCCCCAGGAGGGAGAAGGCAGTGTATTCCAAGAACTTCTTGGCCCACCTTTGAGCATGAATGGAAGGTTATGAAAAGAAGGGATGCATGGAGAGAAGGGCAAAAGGAAGCAGCTTGAGGGAAGAAAGGCTTCAAGAAAAGCCATTCCCATTTTCTCATCCTGGAAGACATGACCTAATCATTACCATCATCCTTAGTAGCACCTGCTATTAAAATCAGCCAGCTGGCCAAGCACAGTGGCTCACACCTGTAATCCCAGCACTCTGGGAGGCTGAGGCAGGTGGATCACCTGAGGCCAGGAGTTCGAGATTAGCCTGGCCAACATGGTGAAACCCCGTCCCTACTAAAAATAAAAAAAGTTAGCCAGGCGTGGTGGCAGGCACCTATAATCCCAGCTACTTAGGAGGCTGAGGGAGGAGAATTGCTTGAACCCGGGAGTCAGAGGTTGCAGTGAGCTGAGATCACACTACTGCATTCCAGCCTGGGCAACAGAGCAAGACCCTGTCTCAAAAAGTAAATAAATACAAATTCGAAAAACAGAAATAAAAATAAAATCAGTTAGCTGCATCTGTTTATCACTAGGGGCAGGAATTCCTTACTGGGTGACTCTGTTTTGGTCCAGGTCATAAATGGATGCCTCCATCACTTCAATTTAAAGACTTCTAGCCAACAACCCTCAACATGGCTTTGTGGAACTCTACGAGTAAGGAACATGACCCTGTGTTCCTCCAAAGAGAAGGAAGGCAAGACATCCTTAGAGATGGCTCAATGGCATTCAACTTGGAGGGAGGAAACGCTCAATTTCCTTCCCGGAACCACAGACCAGAAGCCCAGTCTCAGAACTCTCCAGGAGCTTCTGATACTTGTCTTAGAATAAACAGCTACATTCCCTGGGTCCTGAATGTGTTTCTGCTACTCCTGTTCTCCCTGTCACTGATGTATGGTGGTAAACAAAGGAGGAAGTGAGAAAAGCCTAAAGGAAGTCGCACAGCAGAGGGGTTAGGAACAAGGACAACGGAGCCAGTCAGTCTCAGTCTGAATCCTGACCTAACCAACTGCTGTGTGACCTTGGGCAAGTTACTTAACTGCTCTGTGCCTCAGTTTCCTCACGTGTAAAATCAGGATAATCAGAGTATACATATCCTATATAGAGTTGTTAAGAGGATTAAATGAATTTGGGTTTGTCAAAGGGATTGCAACAATGCCTAGCATAAAGTTCATATAAACTTCAATTCTTGGCTCCTGCCAAACAGTCCTGTTTATGACATCTCTTCTTGTCGGAGTGGTCACATCACCCTCGATGTGACAAAACCTCCAAAATTTCCGCCGCAACAGATAAGCTGGATGACCTATGACCTAGCCACATACCTATTTGTCTAAAAAACAGCCACCTCTGGCCGGGCACAGTGGGTCATGCCTGTAATCCCAGCACTTTGGGAGGCCGAGGCAGGTGGATCACCTGAGGTCAGGAGTTTGAGACCAGCCTGGCCAACATGGTGAAACCCTGTCTCTCCTAAAAATACAAAATTAGCCGGGCATGGTGGTGCATGCCTGTAATCCCAGGCATGAGATTAGGAGAACAGCTTGAACCCGGGAGGCTGAGGTCGCAGTGAGCCGAGATCGTGCCACTGCACTCCAGCCTGGGCAACAAGAACAAAACTCCGTCTCAAAAAAGAAAACAGAAACAAACAAATAAAAAAAAACCCAGCCACCTCACCACATACTGAGTATACAAGTACTTCACAAGAAGTTCCTCAAGCCAAGGAAGAACGCAGCATACGTGAGCCTCGGCTAGGTGGATTTCATACCTGGATATCACGGTAGGACAGGAGTAAGTTAATGATGATGTCTGAGGTCAGAACCTCAGTATTATCCATGCGGAGCTTGATCCGAGCCAGCTCCTTCGCCAGTTCCTCACCTTGGTACTTCTCTCTGGCTTTCCGGATGTCATTTAACAAGGTTTCTTTGTAATAAACACTAGAGAAAGAAAACCACAAAAACCTCCAGTCACATCTACACACACCCAGGACTGTCTTGCGCCCAAAAGGGTTCTCACTGACGTGACTTAGGCTAACACATGGGGACCTCGGCCCAAACCTGAGCCTCCCTGCGCCAGCAAACAGGAGATACTTTCTACTTATTCACATTTTATAGACCGATAAATGACAAATAAAATCAGTTCATTCAACCTTGAAGATATTTCCAAAGGTGACTCCCATCTGTACTCAGATAACACACAGAACTTGCTGCCAACCAAGCCCACTGTCTCTGGCATTTTCAAACATATAGAGGGCGAGAAGGTACCTTCCTTATGTATGTATTTTGCCCACTAGTAACAAAGCCAAACGGAGCTCCAAAACCCAGGACACATACATGAGAATGCTTTTCAAATGAATTTCTCCATCAGGGGTCTCTCGTTAGTAGTCATGAAGCCTTCCCCAGTTGAGGTGAGGGCTGGAAACTGGTGTTGTGTCCCTGAGCAATACAAGATGGGACACACAGAGGTCATGCCCGGAAACTTATGGACAGCCTTGCTCTCCTCATCATATTGAATGGCCAGAATGTTTCCTTTTTTTTTTTTTTTTTGAGACGGAGTCTCCCTCTGTTGCCCAGGCTGGAGTGCAGTGGCGCGATTTCAGCTCACTGCAACCTCCTCCTCCCTGGTTCAAGCAATTCTCCTGCCTCAGCCTCCCAAGTAGCTGGGACTATAGGCATGTGCCACCATGCCCGGCTAATTTTTGTATTTTTAGTAGAGACAGGGTTTCACCATGTTGGCCAGGCTGGTCTCAAACTCCTGAACTCAAGTGATCCACCTGCCTCGGCCTCCCAAAGTGCTGGGATTACAGGCGTGAGCCACCGTGACTGGCCTGGAGAATGGCTTTCTAATGGAAAACACAAAACTTCCTTCAGGTGAGCACCTAGATAAGCACGAGGAAGCTTAAAAACACTTAAAGCAGTTAAATTCACACTGGAATATCACCATACTCTCTTGAAGGGCCAATGCTATTATCTTGTATTTGGTTTAAAACCTTGAAAAATGACCTAATTTGGTATACAGAGGATGAGTTACAACAACCATAGATTGATTTAAAATATCTTGTCTATTTTTCATAGGAATTTTTAAGTGGAGGTGGGACACTGCCAAACAGTAATACTGTCACCCCATTAAGAAGCTGAAATGGGGCCAGGCATAGTGGCTCACGCCTATAACCTCAGCACTTTTGGAGGCCAAGGCAGGAGGATCACCTGAGCTTAGGAGTTCAAGACTAGCCTGGCCAACGTGGCGAAACCCCGTCTCTACTAAAAACACAAAAACTAGCTGGGCGTGATGGTGGTGGGCACCTGTAATCCCAGCTGCTTGGGAGGCCGAGGCAGGAGAATCGCTTGAACCCGGGAGGCGGAGGTTGCAGTGAACCGAGATCACACGGCTGCACTCCAGCCTAGGCAACAGAGTGAGACTCGGTCTTAAAAAAAAAAAAAAAAACAAAAACCACATACACACACACACACACACACACACACACAACGAAGCTGAAATTGTCTAACTGCAGAGTGTAAAATTAGGCTGTTCATTAAAAAGAGAGTAAGCTAAATTTAATAATAGTCTTCAGAGAGAGAAACACAACATGAGATAGGATAAGAACAAATGGTGCCCACTTTCAATAATTACAAAACAATGCCAAATATGTATAGGTACAGTACATAACCTGGTCCAACGCTCACAAGAGGACCTCCGTTCTGATAGAACGGAGTAGTAGGGGTTCTGATAGAAAAATATCAATGCACTGCTTTAGTTTTCTATTTCCTTATTTGTCAATTGCCATCATTCCAATGATGCACAAAATTAGCAGATTCTGCCAGTATTTAAAATTCTGTCACTAATTGAATGAGTCATTAAGTTGGATGCCAGCCATTGCCCATTTGGTGGACTATAAAGGCATTGAAACTATTAAAGTGTTATTAGGTTAGCCTGATAAGTAAAAAGTTATACTTCAGCCTTATTTTTCAAGGGTAATTCTGAAAAATAATTTTAATAAACTAAGAAACCTAAGAAGAACAGTACCTTTTAGGTAAATTAAACACTGGTTTGAGGATGGCTTGAGGACATCAGATATGTAATAAGCATGCAGCCATTTCTGCCTCTGTAATCAAGGAAGATATTGCTGATCAATGAGAACTTGGAAATGGCTTCCTAGCCATTCTAGCACAGGTCTCAAAATAGATTTTATAAATCTATCAGAGCTGGTACTTGAGCTAAAAACTTCCTTTCCATCTGTGTTATAGATGTTTTAAACTATAAGCACTACTTCCCCTCTTACTAACTGTTGCCAGACACTGCCAGTTCATAGGGTAGAATCCACCAATAGGTATTTCAAGCCCTTTGAAATTAAATGAAATCACAAGAGTTGTTTGCCTACTGATACATACACACACTGAATGAGAATGAAACTTGAATCCATGTCTTGCAAAGACCTAAATCATCTGGCAGATCTAGCCAGTCTACCTCCTTGTCAGATCTGAAAATATGGTATTGGGAGAGCTTTCCATAAAACTTCACTAAAGTGTTTATTTTGCAATCAGACACTAGTTAGCAAGGAACAACTGCATGAGGTTTTCCAGGAATGTGCCACAAAATGTCCCCCATTTGCTCTCTATGTTGGCATGCGGTCACACATATTTAGGTTTCCAATCTCCCTTTCCATTAAAGTCTGTAGAAGAAGGTCTGCATCCAGAGAAGAGGTGATGGGATAGAAAAGGACACCATTAAGAAGTGTCCTTTTCTACATACCAATACTACAATAGAACACTCCGCAGTTCAGGGTGCCACTATTTGAGTCACAGTGTGACAGGAGGTCCTCTACCCTTCATTTCAGGTCAGCTCTGCCAGTGTTTGGGATTTTCATTTGTTTTGGAAGGACAAATCCTTCTCCTTGTGACACAACTTAACGGGAATAAATCCTTTAAATTGGCCGCAAGCAAAATAACTGGATCCTTTGGTTAAGAAGAAGAATTTTTCTGTCTTTTACTTTCACAATAAGAACATCTGAAGGTATGGTTTCTTGAGCATTGAGGCTCCAATAGGTGAGCTGACTATTTCAGTGCTACACAGGTAGGAATCACCTAAGCCAAGATTCCAATCTAAACCTATTCACTTCTGCATCTTTCACCTCACCCAACCTAAATCTAAAGACAACACAGCACAGTACACCCTGAGGATAGCTGCTGCTCCACTCAACACACAAAGGCTTATTAAAGCACGAGAGCGTAAGGTCAGAATGACCTTGCTGAGATATTTGAAGAGCCTCAACAGCCATGCGAGTATAAAACCATGCTCAGAAATCATCTTGACACACAGGATCTCAGAGCTGAAAGAGATCATTTAAAAAAACATCACTGACAACTTCCTATAAGTTGTCTTATCTAGAAGAGAGAGAACAGTCAGAGAGAAGAAAAGTTACATGTCAAGATCAAACAGGAAGTCAGGGCCAGACACAGGCTCAATCCTGACCTCTTAATTCCAGTTCTATTCTCTTTTGGCTTCATTTCAGTGGCCCAGCTAAGTGAGCCAGTAAGGTACAATAGTGGGTTCTCCAGCAACTCTGGTCTCCGTGAAGGTGTACCACTTCCCTGAAAGCGAGGGGGAAATCTTGATGAGTCTCCAGGGGTTACTGGCGGCAGATGGGAATTACCATGAGGTCACGTGCATGTCCTTAAGGAGGCTAATGAACCTGTCCACCAAAGGCATGCACAGCGGGCCCAGGATGTTGTCCCAGTTGGGCTGCATGTACTCGGAGGCTCGTCTCTGGGCATCACTCTCGCAGCAAAAATAATCAGCACACGGTGTCACGATGTATGGGATGAAATAATAATTTCCACTGGATGCCTGGAAAAAAGAAACAAAGATGTTCCAGAAAGTAACTGATGTGGAAGTGTAGGCTCTGGGCAGGTGGGGCCTGGTGGGACAGGCACGGAGAAAATACCTGAGGACGAAAACAATTCGTGCAATACGACTATGGATCTATTAGGCACAAAATAGGAAACCACTTGATTTCAAAAGCTCTACCGCATAGATATATGACAAAAATTTGGTTTAAAATACTGATCTGTATGTATCTCTGAACTTCATTGGCAGAAATTTTAGGGTTTTAAATCTCAGAAATCACATTGTTTCATTATACGTACCCAAAACCAGAGGGAACTTGAACCTCCTGATAAGCAAGGATTACAACGTGGCATATTGTTTTTCTTTCAGCATAGATGAAAAAGGCATATTATTTGATCATTTAACTATAGGTGAACTATTATAAACTTTGTGGAATAAAAATTGCTCTGTAGGAAGCATATATTAATATAACAAGTCTCAGATCTTTTCTGCTTTTTGAGACAGGGTCTTGCACTGTCACCCAGACTGGAGTGCAGTGACGCAAACATGGCTCACTGCAGCCTCAACCTCCTAGGCTCAAGCAATCCTCCCACCTCAGCCTCCATAGTAGCTGGGACTACAAGTGTGTGCCACCATGCTCAGCTAATATTTCCATTATTTTGTAGAGATTGGGGTTTTGCCATGTTGCCCAGGCTGATCTCAAACTCCTGGGCTCAAACAATCTGCCCACCTCAGCCTCCCAAAGTGCTGGGATTATAGGCTTGAGCCACCATATCTGGCCTAAATTTCATATTTTTACATGTCCTGAAATCGTCATCTTATTTTGATATTTTCCAACCATTAAAACATGTAAAAAACCATTCTTAGCTCCCAGGACATACAAAAACAGGTGACGAGTCAACGTTGTCTTAGACAAAGCTTCTGATACTCTATTATCCCTGAAAATAGGGTTGGTTTTCTGAGAATACTTACATTCTGCTGCAAAGCAGCAACTGGAGACCATCCTTGTGGGTACCAGCTATTGGCATTAAGCCTGTCAAAACACAAATACTGGCCAGGCATGGTGGCTCACGCCTGTAATCCCAGCACTTTGGAAGGCAGAGGCAGGTGGATCATTTGAAGTCAGGAGTTTGAGACCAGCCTGGCCAACATGGTGAAACCCCATCTCTACTTAAAAAAAAAAAAAAAATAGCCAGGTGTGGTAGCACATGCCTGTAGTCCCAGCTACTCAGGAGGCTGAGGCAGGAGAATCACTTGAACCCGGGAGGCAGAGGCTGCACTGAGCCGAGATCGCACCACTGCCCTCCAGCCTGGGCGACATAGCGAGACTACATCTTCAAACAAACAAACAAACAAACAAACAAAAATACCAGTGTTGTAAGTAGAAAGGGTAAAAATTCAGGGGGGTATGTGTGTGTGATAAGTGGGGTAGCAGGCTCCTATCTACTTCTTCACAACCACTAGGAATTGCCTACCCCACAGGAACAAAGACCCTTTGCTCCCTATGGTACTTTTTTTTTTTTTTGAGACAAGGTCTTGCTCTGTCACCCAGGCTGCAGTGCAGTGGTGCAATCACAGCTCATTGCAGTCTCAAACTCCTGGGCTCAAGCTATCCTCCTGCCTCAGCCTCCCAAAGGGTTGGGATTACAGGTGTGAGCCACTGCACCTGGCCTTCTAATACTTTCAAGTTCTTAAAGAGACTCAAATCACTGAGCATTAAGGTTTTGGTAAATTAGAGATAAATTTCTCCCTCATCCATGCCAAGAAAGCCATGTTCCTAGACTAAATTAAATGATATTTATATATTCAAAAGTTAAACTTTCTTTCTTTCACCTTGATATGGTTAGGCTTTGTGTACCTACCCAAATCTCATCTTGAATTGTAATCCCCGTAATCTCCATGTGTCAAGGTAGAAACCAGGTGGAGGCAACTGGATCATCATGGGCGGTTCCCCCATGCTGTTCTAGTGATAGTGAGTGAGTTCTCAGGAGATCGGATGGTTTTATAACGGGCTCTTCCCCCTTTGCTAGGCACTTCTCCTACCTGCCGCCTTGTGAAGAAGGTATCTTGCTCCCGCTCCCACTTCTGCCACGATTGTAAGTTTCCTGAGGCCTCCCCAGCCATGCTGAACTGTGAGTAAATTTAACCTGTTTCCTTTACAAATTACCCAGTCTTGGACAGTTCTTTATAGCAATATGAAAACAGACTAATACACACTTGAAATTGCTTGAGTTTATGGTCAAAGACTTCCTAGTTCAGACAGAGGGAGAAAAGGGCTGTGTGGATCAGTGAGGTCTAGAAGGAAAAATACCTTTGAAGAAACGCAGTTTGTTATTTTCAAAAAGTTAAAGCTGGACTGGAAGTGTAAGGAGCTTCCCAGATCCCATCCCCAGAAAGACAACCATAACTGATGAAAATTCTTTTCAAACAGCCATTTAAAGCAAGCTTGTCCAACCGTGGCCCACGGACCACATATGGCCCAGGATAACTTTGAATGTGGCCCAACACAAATTTGTAAACTTTCTTAAAACATTTTGAGATTTACACACAAACTTTTTTTTTTAATAGCTCATCAGCTATTGTTAGTGTATTTTACATGTGGCCCAAACAATTCTTCTTCCTCCAATGTGGCCCAGCAAAGCCAAAAGATTGAACACCCCTGATTTAAAGTCTCTACAAGTTGTCCTGAGGGCATGTAGCAAATGGAAAAACGTTTTATTCAAGAAAATCTAAATCTTGGTAGTAACAGTAAGATTCTGCAGCATTCGGGCCACAAACTGCTCCCCCATCCCCATACCCAGCCCAGAGTGACTGAAGTTCTACTCTAAGTAGGTGTGTCCAAGACAAAAGGGCTCCCTCTTGTCCCTGGTCCAGAGTCACTGTTTCTCCTTAGGAAGACCAGGCCACCAGCATTCTTATCCCTCACAGCCTGATATTGTAGAAGTTCTATTCCAGGCAAGTGTGGTCAAGATGACCAGGGCTCCCTTGCTTTACCCAGCCTACACCTGCAGGGTGGAAGCTCTACCCTAGGCAAAACAGGCCAAGAGACTGGGTGCAGTGGCTCACGTCTGTAATCCCAGCACTTGGGAGGCCGAGGTGGGTGGATCACGAGGTCAGAAGTTCGAGACCAGCCTGGTCAACATGGTGAAACCCCCTCCCTACTAAAAATACAAAAATTAGCCAGGCATGGTGGCGGGCACCTGTAATCCCAGCTACTTGGGAGGTTGAGGCAGGAAAATTGCTTAAAACTGGGAGGCAGAGGTTGCAGTGAGCCGAGATCGCACCACTGCACTCCAGCCTGGGCAACAGAGCAAGACTCCATCTCAAAACAAAACAAAACAAAAACAAAGAAACAAACTAAAAACAGGCCAAGAATGCTGAAACTTGATTGTCCCTGCCCCAGCTCTCTCACAGAATGAAGGTTCCATGACAAGAGAGGCAAGCTGAGAAGACCAGAGGCTGTTGCCCCTACCCAGCACCCCACTCAGAGCAGGGTGTCACCCCAAGAGAAACAGACTACTGTTTCCACTGCCATCTCCACAGCAGTGGTGCAGAGCTCTGCCCAGGGAAAAGGCAGGCTGTAAGAACTGCAGCTCTTCACAAGGAGAGCGACTTCATGTGGAATATGCCATGAACTCATGAGTTCAAGCTCATGAGTGCTGTACAAAACATCATGGAGATTTTGGCGGCTGACAATCAAGAGAAGGCTGGTAGCTCTATGACAGGAAAAAGTAAAGGGTAGACCACCTAGAAGTTTAACAGAGAACTGGGAAAGAGACAGCTAAGAGGAACCTTCCTGAGGTCAGAGCAAGCCTCAGGGATTAGATTTAAGGACTATTCCTGCAAAACTTTAATTGTATCAAACTGTGGAACAATTATGCCTCAAGGTATTGTCAAAAACAACAGAACAATCAGCTAAGGAGGGAGACTAACAACTGAGTGTAATACCAGTTGTATAAGACCAATACAGAAGATTAGTCAGAAACTTAACAGGGAGATCAGGGAAACAGAAAAAGAGAGTCTAGCTGCAACTACTGTCATTCCTGGTGAGGATACAAGAGTCAGAGTAACTGTGCACACACACAAGAGTGTGCCCTTTAAGAAGTGACATTAGAGGCTGCACATTGCAGAAAAATAGACTTCACTGATCTAGTCAAGTCATGAAACAAATAAACAAGTAAACAACAAAAAGAACATGCTCCAGAGGCAGAAGGCAGAAAGATCAGTATCTGAAGTTTCTACAATATATTATCTGAAATGTCCAGTTTTCAACAAAAAACACATAACATGCAGAGACAGGACAGTGTGATCCACATATGGGAAAAACAGTAGGCAATGCTAACTGCCTTTGAAAGGACCCAGATATTAAATGTAGCAGACAATGACTTGAAAGCAGATATTACAAATATGTTCGAACAACTAAGGTAAACCATACTTAAAGAATTAAAGGAAGGTATTATGACAGTATCTCAAATACAGAAGATAAAGAAAAATTACAAAAAATGGGGGGGGGGTAGGAATTCTGAAGTTGAAAAGTACAACAGCCAAAATGAAAAATTCACTCAAGAGGCTCAACAGGCAATTTGAGTGGTAAAAGAAATAATCAGCAAACTTGAAGACAGATCAATAGAGATATGCAATCTGAAGAACAGAGAGAAAAAGAAAAAAATGAACAAAGTCCTAAAGGAACACAGGACAGCATTAAGTACACCAACATATGTGACACCTAATAGGAGTCCCAGAAGAAGAGGAGAGAAAGGAGCAGAAAAATACTCGAAGAAATAATTGCTGAAAAGTTCTCAAATATGATTTTTTTTTTGAGACAGAGTTTCATTCTTGTTGCCCAGGTTGGAGTGCAATGGCATGATCTTGGCTCACCACAACCTCCGTCTACCAGGTTCAAGTGATTCTCCTGCCTCAGCCTCCTGCATAGCTGGGATTACAGGCATGCACCACCACACCAGCTAATTTCGTATTTTTAGTAGAGACAGGTTTTCTCC